TAAATATTACATTTATTAATATATAATGGCTATTTTTATTCAAATATTTTAACATTAAAACAAACAAACCCATTAAAGTGATGGATTTCATATTTTTTATTTTACGATTATTTACATTTTTGGCAAAATTAATATTGTTTTTTGAAATAAAAATATTAGAAATTAGAAAATTATTAGAAATATTAATATTAATATTAGAAATAATATATATCTATTTATTTTTATGAATTTTTTTTTTATTATTTCATTAATTATTTCATTAATTAGAATCATTTATTAGTATGTATAATAGATATTTACTAATTAGTAGTTCTAATATTGAAATAATATACAATATTTCAATATTATGTCTCGAAATAAAAATTTTGTGAAATTAGTTATCATCGATTCACGCGCCTTCATTCATTTGATATATTGATTTGTGTGTAAAGTAACAACACTGCTCATGCTCATTTCGAATTTTTACTATTACTAGAAAACTTGGAACTCAGAACTAAACCAAAAAATATTTACCAAAATGTCGCCAATTTGTTATTACTAAGATGTTTATTATATAATTTCAATATGAAACTTGTTTTATGTTGTTTTATGTTGAAATGTAATGTATATTAATTGCCATAAAGGCAATTTTCATTATCGCTCAAATTATTAAAAAAAGGTAATAATAATTATTTATATTATTTTTATTAAATATAATAATTATAATAATTAAAAACTATTAATTATATTATAAATCCTTATACATTTTTAATCAGATTATAATAATTTTGTAATTTTCATTATTATATTATTCATATTTAATATATATTATATTTTAATTTTCAATATATAGTTATTTTGTTATTATTTTACAATTGAAAATTATTATTATAAAAAACAATATTCAAATAATATTATTTATAAAATAAATTAAAGAATTATATTATTATATATCCAATATTCAAATTTCTTTTCATCAATGTATATTGATTTCATATACTAAAATATTTATAATAATTTTATATTATAGGCTTCACCATTGCGAACATAATTCCTATTATGATGTTGGGGCGTAAGCAGAGCCTCAAAGGGGAACCTGTGTTGGCTGATTATGGCCCAGAGGAGTCCCTCAATGAGAGCGCTGATATAGAATGGGTAAATAAGGTAATTTACAAAAATATATTCACTTTTATTTATATGAAAAATTTATTTCTTATTATATAAGTAGCATATTTATTAATTAAGTAATTACTTAATTATTATAGTTATGGGTGAGAAGGCTGATGAGGTCTTGTGCTCTGGTATCTTTAGCTTCTGTTTGCTTGAATACTCCAAAAACTTTTGAAAAAGTTCCACCACTTCAATATTTTACCTTTATTTGTGACTTAATTATTACATTTTTGTTTACTGCTGAAATGATTGCCAAAATGCATATAAGGGGTATATTGAAGGTAATTCATATAATATTATTACATAACAATTTACATAAACTGACAATTTTTTAGTTACAGAGGGATAAATCTTATTTAAAAGATCATTGGTGCCAATTTGATGGAAGCATGGTCATCTTTCTTTGGTTATCTATAATATTACAAATGTTTGAGATGCTAGGTTTTGCTTTAGAACTTAGTTACGTCTCAATATTACGCGCGCCACGTCCATTAATTATGATACGTTTTTTACGAGTTTTTCTAAAGTTTTCTATGCCAAAAGCTAGAATTAATCAAATTTTCAAGTAAATATTTTAAAAATATAAAAAATTTATTATAAATTTGATATATTTATATTATTCATAATTTCAGGCGTTCAAGTCAACAGATATATAATGTAACTCTTTTCTTTCTTTTCTTCATGTCTCTTTATGGTCTTTTAGGCGTTCAGTTTTTTGGTGAATTAAAAAATCATTGTGTTCTTAATACTACTATAGATCCAACAAATATAACTATAAATAGTTTAGCCATTCCTGATACTTTTTGTTCTACTGATCCTGAATCAGGATACCAATGTCCAGAGGGAATGACTTGTATGAAACTTCAGTTATCAAAATATATTATGGGTTTCAATGGATTTGATGAATTTGGTAGTAATAAATTTTATATAATATAAAATATTTACTATATATACTATATTTTTTATAAACAATTTACTTTTTAAATAATTTTTATTAAAATACTTTAGATAAATAATTTTATTTATTTTCAGCTACAAGTATTTTTACAGTCTATCAAGCTGCATCACAAGAAGGATGGGTTTTTATTATGTATCGCGCAATAGATAGTTTGCCTGCTTGGCGTGCAGTTCTTTATTTTAGTACAATGATATTTTTCTTAGCATGGCTCGTAAAGAATGTTTTCATAGCAGTTATCACAGAAACTTTTAATGAAATTCGAGTTCAGTTTCAACAAATGTGGGGTGTTAGAGGACATATCAGCAATAACACAGCATCACAAGTTAGTAATAATTTTGTATATAATAATTAATTTATTAATAAAGTAATTGAATGTATATAAAAATATACATATATGTATAATTTTATACATAATCTTTATCATATACAGTTTGTTAATATATTCATGAAATATTTTTAAAAAGACAAAACAATATTTTAAAGGCAAAAACAAACATAAACAAACATAAAAGTTAATATACAAAAATGTCGGTTGAGATCTATTTATTAAGTTATAATAATATAAATATAATTTAAATTCATATTAGATAAAACAAACTGAAAATGTACTGTGAAGATGACATAGACAAAATGGTCTTATTTTATTTTCTTTTTATCTAATATAAATTTCAATTATTTATAAGTTAATAAATAATTTTAATTGAATTTTTATATACAACTTTTATATTTGTATCGATTTTTAAAATTAACTTTTCAAAGATATTTCATATCTTGTATATATATTTTTTTTTAGATATTAACTGGCGATGACAATAGTTGGAAATTGGTAACCTTAGATGAAAATAAACACGGAGGTTTAGCTTCTCCTATATGTCATGCTATTCTCAGGTCTCCTCATTTTCGTATGGTGGTAATGTTTATAATTTTGGCAAATGGTATTACCACTGCGACTATGAGCTTCAAACATGATGAGAAGCCAAGGCATACATATTATGATAATTATTATTATGCTGAGATTGCATTTACAATATTTTTAGATTTGGAAACATTGTTTAAAATCTGGTGTCTCGGATTTCGCAGTTATTATAAGCATTCGATTCATAAATTTGAATTATTATTAGCAATTGGTACAACCATACATATTATTCCGTTTTTCTATCTTTCTGGATTCACATATTTTCAGGTTTTTATAATTCATTCTTATTCAATTTTAAAATAAATTTAATTATAAATAAAATTAATTGAAAATATACAATGATAAAAAAAAATCAATTAGAAATATATAATGATAGAGAAAATTAATTTGAAGTATAATGATAAATTAATATAATATTGTTTTATAATTAGGTTCTTAGAGTAGTTAGACTTATCAAGGCATCACCAATGCTTGAAGATTTTGTATACAAAATATTTGGTCCTGGGAAAAAATTAGGAAGCCTCATTATTTTTACTATGTGTCTATTAGTCATATCATCGAGTATTTCTATGCAATTATTTTGTTTTCTTCGCAATTTCACAAAATTTGAAACATTTCCAGAGGTAAAGGAAACATAAACAGATTTACAGATAATTAAATTATATTGATAAAGAACTTTTTTAGGCATTTATGTCCATGTTTCAAATCTTAACACAAGAAGCTTGGGTAGATGTTATGGATGAAACAATGTTAAGAACACATGAAACAATGGCTCCTCTTGTTGCTATGTATTTTATTTTATACCATCTTTTTGTTACATTGGTAAAAATATATTTAGATATTTGTTTTATAATTTGTTATAATTAAAAAGATAATTAAAAGATAATTTTAATGATTTTTTAAGATTGTGTTAAGTTTATTTGTCGCTGTAATTTTGGATAATCTTGAATTGGATGAAGACATTAAGAAACTGAAACAATTAAAATTCCGTGAACAAAGTGCGGAAATAAAAGAAACTTTACCATTTAGATTACGAATATTTGAGAAATTTCCTGACAGTCCTCAAATGACATGTTTACATAAAGTACCATCAGATTTTAATCTTCCAAAAGTAAGTATTATCCATTATCCATATATATATGTGTGTATTATAAAGACTAAAATATAGATATTTTTTTGTATATATAATTTAGGTTCGTGAAAGTTTCATGAGACAATTTGTATTTGAAATGGAAAATGAAGAAAATGAAGGAGTAAAGAAAATAAATGAAACTTTTGATTCAAAAATGATATATAGAAAACAACGTCCAGTAAAAATTTTAAATAATCCACCTAAAGTAAGAAATGTTGTTACCAGTCTTAAAAAAGCAGCTGTTATTTATATTATAAAGTGAATATTTATAAAACATAATATTTATAAATAATTCATAAGATTACAATATATATGTATATATAAATTTTTAGCGATTCCAACAATCAAAGATTATTATTAGGTGATTCTGCTATGATACCAGTACCAGGAAAAGGTCTTCTAAAACCACAAGGCACTGTCAGTAGCGCTAAACAACTTCGTTTTGATCAAAAAAAGTAAAATCTTAAATTTACTTAATAATAATACTTGAAGTAAGGAAAATTAAAAAAATATATTTTTTTATATCAATCAATCTATTCATATAATAAGGTCAATTAGAAGAAGTGTTCGTAGTGGATCGATCAAACTAAAACAAACATATGAACATTTGATGGAAAATGGTGATATTGGTGGAATAAATAGAGTTAGCTCTTCTCGCAGTAGACCGCATGATTTAGATATTAAACTATTACAAGCTAAACGACAACAAGCCGAAATGCGAAGGTAAAATATTGTTTTTTTTCATTGATTTTATTATTTATACTTTTTCTATTCTGCTGCTTATTGTATTTATATAGAAATCAACGCGAAGAAGATTTACGTGAGAATCATCCCTTTTTTGATACACCACTGTTCGCAGTACCGCGTGAGAGTAAATTCCGTAAAATTTGTCAGTCACTTGTTTATGCAAGATATGATACAAATGTGAAAGATCCTTTAACTGGAAAAGAAAGAAAAGTTCAATATAAAAGTTTACAGTAAGTGCTTTTAATATAAATAATGATTGCTTTGATTTATATTTTAGATTATTATTTAAAATTTTAAAAAAGAGAAAAAAGAAAGAAATTAATAATAGCTATATATATTTTATAGCAATTTTCTTGGTTTGGTCACATATCTTGATTGGGTAATGATTTTTGCTACTACTATGTCTTGTATTTCTATGATGTTTGAAACACCACGCTATCGCGTAATGGAAATTCCAGCATTACAAATTGCAGAATATGGTTTTGTGATATTTATGAGTATTGAGTTAGCTCTAAAGATTTTAGCAGATGGACTATTTTTCACACCAAAAGCCTATATTAAAGATGTCGCTTCTGTTTTGGATGTTTTTATTTATGTTGTATGTTGAAAAATGTCATTTCTGCTATATAATATTTAGTAAATTTAATGCTAATTCAATCGACATTTAGGTTAGCCTTGTGTTTCTTTGTTGGATGCCAAAAAGCGTACCACCAAATTCAGGTGCACAACTTTTGATGATTTTACGTTGTGTTAGACCATTAAGAATCTTCACTCTTGTACCACACATGAGAAAAGTTGTTTACGAATTATGTAGAGGATTCAAAGAGATTTTGTTGGTAAGTAATTTTAATTAAAAATTCAAATGTTGAAGTGCTTTTTTAATATAATCAAAGTCATTTAATTAATTTTTCAGTAACAAAAATCCGCTCTTTTATTTTATTTATATAAACAGATTTATTTCAAAATATTGCAGAAAAGTGATCTAATTTAGATAAAAAATGAATAAAAAATTTTTTAGGTGTCTACTCTATTGATTTTACTGATGTTTATATTTGCGAGTTATGGTGTACAACTTTATGGAGGTAGATTAGCACGTTGTAATGATCCTACTATTTTGAAACGAGAAGATTGTGTTGGAGTATTTATGAGAAGAGTATTTGTAACAAAAATGAAATTGCAACCAGGCGAAAACGAGAGTTATCCATCTATATTAGTACCACGTGTTTGGTAGGTTTATTGAAAAGAAAATATAAGATATAAATAATACAATAAAAATGCTTCTAAAAAAACATTAAAACTTTTTCAGGGCCAATCCTAAAAGATTTAATTTTGACAATATTGGTGATGCATTAATGGCACTTTTTGAAGTACTTTCTTTTAAAGGATGGCTTGATGTTAGAGATGTTCTTATTAAAGCTCTTGGTCCAGTAAGTAATTAATATTATTTTAAAACATTTTTAATAATATTATAATATTACATAATATTATATAACATTATATTATTTAATGATTTTTTTTTTTAGGTTCATGCTATTTATATTCACATTTATATTTTCCTGGGTTGTATGATTGGTTTAACTCTGTTTGTGGGTGTTGTCATTGCTAATTATTCTGAAAATAAAGGAACTGCTTTACTTACAGTTGATCAAAGACGATGGTAAATCTTTAATTAATTCATTTAATGAAATTTTAAACAATATATAAAAATTTTAAACAAATATATATTATGATTTAAATAGGTGTGATTTAAAAAAGCGATTAAAAATTGCACAACCATTACATTTACCACCTAGACCAGATGGAAAGAAATTTAGAGCATTTATCTATGATATCACTCAGAATATCTATTTTAAGAGATTCATTGCAGTTATGGTGCTTATAAACAGTTCTCTTCTATGTGTCTCTGTGAGTTGGATAATTTTTATCCTCTTTGTATAATAATGACATCACACAAAACATTACAACACCATAACATCACTTTGTAATTAATTAAAATTCTTTATATACAAAAAATATAATACTTTTCATAAAAGGATAATTGACTGTTACTTTGAATCATTTGTTCCTTGCCGGCTACCATTAGACCGTGGTAAAAGTAAATCGACACATTTTTTTTTTCGTTAATAAATATTTTTTTATCTTTTGTCCCTTAAGTGGAGAATCGAGGAAGAACACACGGAAGCACTCGCTACGGTGTCCACGATTCTGACACTCATCTTCCTCGTGGAAGTTATTATGAAAAATATTGCTTTTACACCACGTGGCTATTGGCAGTCCAGAAGAAACAGATATGATTTGCTCGTGACAGTTGTTGGTGTTATTTGGATCATCATTCATTGTACAATGAAGGTAGGTCAATATTATTCAATAATGGCTCAGAGAGAGAAAGAGAGAGAATTGTTGTTATTATTGTTATAATTTATAAATATATAATATAGATTTTTAATGAATATCTTTCTTGCAGAACGACTTGTCGTACGTGATCGGCTTTATGGTTGTGATTCTTAGATTCTTTACAATCACTGGCAAACATACAACTCTCAAAATGTTGATGTTAACAGTTGGAGTATCTGTTTGTAAAAGTTTTTTCATTATATTTGGCATGTTCCTTCTTGTTTTCTTTTATGCGCTAGCTGGTACGATTATCTTTGGAACTGTAAAGTATGGTGAAGGTATAGGAAGGTAATGTTATGCATTTTTATATAACAAAACCAAAAAATTATTTTAATATCAAAACAATTAAATGATGCAAATATTGTCTTAATATAAAATATTGTCTTAATATAATGTTAAAAGAAACAATTATTATTTAGGCGTGCCAATTTTGAGTCACCTGTAACTGGCGTTGCAATGCTCTTCCGTATTGTCACAGGTGAAGACTGGAATAAAATAATGCATGATTGCATGATACAACCACCGTATTGTACTCCTGCTGCTAATTATTGGGAAACTGATTGTGGCAACTTTCATGCTTCTTTAATATATTTTTGTACTTTCTATGTCATTATTACTTATATCGTTTTAAATCTTCTAGTTGGTAAGTATTAATTGATTATTTCAAATGTATATATTGATTATTTTAGAATAAAATCTAAGAACTAATTTTCTATAATAGCTATTATTATGGAAAACTTTTCTTTATTTTATTCAAATGAAGAAGATGCTTTATTATCTTATGCTGATATTAGAAACTTTCAAAATACTTGGAATGTTGTTGACAATCATCAAAAGGGTTTTATACCTGTGAAACGGGTACGTTTATAAGAGAAATTGTTATATGTTTAATAAACTATTATAAATTGGCTAGAAATAATGATATATTAGTTTGTTTTAGGTGAAATTTATTTTACGATTATTAAAAGGTAGATTAGAGACTGATCCACAGAAGGATCGTCTTCTTTTTAAACATATGTGCTATGAACTAGAAAAGTTGAATAATGGAGAAGATGTTACTTTTCATGATGTTATCAAGTAAATTTTTTGATAAATAAATATATATTATTTTTTTTAACTTCTATAAACTTCTCTTTCTATTAATAAAAAATATTTTTCTTCAGTATGTTATCCTATCGTTCAGTTGATATTCGAAAAGCTCTTCAGCTTGAAGAATTATTGGCGAGGGAAGAATTTGAATATATTATTGAAGAAGAAGTTGCTAAACAAACAATCAGAAATTGGCTAGAAGGTTGTCTAAAAAAAATTCGTGCAAGTGGGGTAAGTTTAGAGAAAAATAGTTTGAAGAAAATAAAATACTAAATAAAATAAATTATTTAATTGACATATTGTAGAAACAACAAAATAGTCTTGTAGCAGGTCTCCGCGCTAATACTGAACAGGTTCAACAGCAAGAACATGTAGAAGAGAAAGGAAAAGAGACTGTCAAAGAAGAAGAAATTGAAACAAAAGTAAATTTTTATATTATTTGTTATATGATATTAAAAAATATACAATACAATTTTTGTATTTTTCATCTATTATTTTTACTAATATTTATTATTAAATAGGATACTGATGGAACTAGACATAAAACAAAAAAACCAGTCGTTCTTCCAAGATCTGATAGCATAGGTAGTGGATCAGGAAGAAAGTATTTAACTCCAACATTATCAGATCCTGCTTCAATTAGATGTGAAAAGGATAAAAATGCGGTACCAAAGAAAAAAAATAATAGACCTCCACGTAAATATATTTTTGTATTATTATATATTTATATCTTTTTATTTTGCTTTTGTCCAACATGAGCTTTTTATTTAAAGCGATGCCGAAAAATAATTTGCCACATCTCACAGAGAGCACTGAGCAAAGCAAACAGCGGGAAACAATCAATGCAAAAGCAATCATATCAAAACCTTCCAATATTATATTAGAAGTTCGAGAATGGTGGAAGGAACAGTTAGCATATAGCAGTGAATCCAGTGAAGATGAAGTTTAAATATTCATTTGTATTTTTCATGAGTATAAATTAAAAATATAAAATAATGTAATAAATAAAGCATATGCTTTAATATTTTTAATGATTACATAAAATTTGCACTTTACATTATTTCTGCTTCATTCTTTTTTTTGCGTACAAATGCAAAAATTTGGTAAATAAGGAAAAAAATATATATCCAAAGTACTAATATTAAAAGTAAACCATTGATATTTATAATGGAGAAAAGAAAAGATACAATTTGTCTAATTTAATTAAAAGTTTTAAAATAGAGTTATTTTTTTAATCTTATTTCCTATATTATTGTTTATAAAAAAAAATATAAAAATATATTTAAAAAGATGATTTATATATTTATTTTAATCATTATTTTTAAATACTGAAATTTTGCAATACTTTATTGAAATGATAAAACAAATATTATTATTATATGAGAATTATATTTATATTTATATTGTAAAGAAAATTATATTTAGTAATTTTTGTTCTTAATTTTGTAATATATTATTTGACATTTTTTTTTTAATTTAAGTTTAAGTTTTTCCTCCTTACATCTCAATTTGTTATTACAAATATAAAGTTTCATAAAATGATTTTTAAATTATAATAATATAATTGTGATTATAATTTTGTTTTATAATGATTA